GGAGTTCCGGCGCGCGAGAGATGGCCCGAGATTCCCCGAGATTGCTCGAGCTGCTCTCCGGTACTCTCGGGAGTATCTCGCTGTCATCTCGCTGCCATCTCGCTGTCATCTCGCTGTCATCTCGCTGTCATCTCGCTGCCGAGGTCTCTAGACATCGAGCACCGCACCACCCGAGGACCTGAACCCACGCTGGGTTCGAGACTCTGGAGGTATGGTACGCGCAGGCACGAGCTAGAGTTGCTCTGCTCCCTGCGGCACCGGCACATCGTCCAGTGCTACGGCGGCGACGCGGCGCGCGAGCTCTTCATCGTGACCGAGCTGATGGAGCGAGATCCGCGCGAGATCACCCCGAGATTGTCCGAGATCAGGCGCGCGAGCTCTTCATCGTGACCGAGCTGATGGAGCGAGATCCGCGCGAGATCACCCCGAGATTGTCCGAGATCAGGCGCGCGAGCTCTTCATCGTGACCGAGCTGATGGAGCGAGGGTCGCTTGAGGACTGCCTGCGCGCACACCCGGCCGAGTTCCGGCGCGCGAGAGATGGCCCGAGAGATGGGGGAGAGATGGGGGAGAGATGGGAGATGTGAGTTCCGGCGCGCGAGAGATGGCCCGAGAGATGGGGGAGAGATGGGAGATGTGAGTTCCGGCGCGCGAGAGATGGCCCGAGAGATGGCCCGAGAGATGGGGGAGAGATGGGAGATGCGAGTTCCGGCGAGAGATGGCCCGAGATTGCCCGAGATTGCCCGAGATTGCCGAGTTTTGGTGGCAGCGGCTACCACACCATCAAGAACCCTGAACCCACACTGGATTCGACACTCTGGGGGTATGGTACTAGGTGGGAGCGGCTCGGCCGGCGCGTCCTCCTCGACACAGCAAAGGGGCTCCTCTACTTGCACGGCCGCGGGCTCGTCCATTTTGACGTCAAGCCACTCAACATCCTCGTCTCGGCGCGCACTCTATCTCCCCACATCTCCCGTATCTCCCCCCTCATCTCCCCATATCTCGCAGCCGCTCGACGTCCTCGTCTCGCACTCCTAGACACGGAACATCTCCCCACATCTCCCGTATCTCCCCCATATCTCCCCATATCTCGCAGCCGCTCGACGTCCTCGTCTCGCACTCCTAGACACGGAACATCTCCCCACATCTCCCGTATCTCCCCCCTCATCTCCCCATACCTCCCATATCTCCCCTGCACTCCTGTGTTCCAGCCCACACTCGAGCGGACCCACACTCCGCTGTACTCGGCAGTGCTCCGCTGTATGCACGGTATTCGCACCCCTCGTACCCACGCGGTGCTCTGTATACACTGCACAGCACCGTCCTCCCGCCCCGAGGCTGGGCACACACCACACACACACACACACACACACGCGCGCGCGCGCGCGCGCGCGCGCGCACACACACACACACACACACACACACACACACACGCACACACACACACACACACACACACACACACACACGCACGCACGCACACGCACGCGCGCGCGCACACACACACGCACACACACACGCACACGCACACACACGCACCGGGCCTTGCACTTTGACTGCTGCGGGGCTCCTGTCGTCTAGACGTGGAGTCGCGAGGGAGAGTTGCCTGGCCCTCGCCCCACCACCTCGTCCTTGTGTGTGTGGAGAAGGGTACCTTACCCTTACCTTAGGCGCACAACGTGGCGAAGCTCTCCGATGTGGGGCTCACCAAGAAGCTCAACAACACGCTCACGCGGCCGGGTGTTTGACGCCCGCCCACGCCGCCCCCGAGATTACCCGAGATTACCCGAGATTACCCGAGATTAGGCGGCTGGACGCCCGCCTACGCCGCCCCCGAGATTCTGGCGCGGCAGGGCGCCAACGAGACGTCCGACATCTACTCGTTCGGCCTCGTCGTGTGGCAGGAGCAGCCACTCCCCCGCACCGCCCACAGCACCTGAACCCACACTGGGTTCGGTACGCTGGAGGTAGGGTGGCAGCGGCACACACTCGCCCGGAAAGGAGTAGGCTAGCGCAGTCGTGTGTGTGTGTCATGAGGGGAGCGTCCACCCGTGTCGCTCCGCTGGCGGTGGCGACACGCCCGCTTCACCTCCTTGCCCCGCGGCTGCACACGATCATCCGTTCACCGCGGCTCTCTTCGGCAGGTGTATACGCACCGAGTGCCATCGCCCTTCGAGCCCTGCCGGGTGGCGGCCAGCTGGCCCGTCGCGCCGCTGCTCGTCGGCGCGGGGCGCGAGCACGAAGGGGCGCTCGCGCTGGACAAGGAGAGGCGGCCGAGCGGCGTCCATCTCAAGGACGAGCTCGACGCTCTCGCCGCGGGCGGCGGGCCTTGATGCCATGGAGCTCTGTATCGGCGAGATCTCGCGGATGCCAGAATCGGGGCGTTTCGCTTCAGTGGAGGGCCGGAGGGCCGCGCGCTCGTCCTCGTGTAAGGGTGGTTTAAACGTTAACTCTTAACTCGCGAAAAAACTAGAGGCAAAGACCAAAGTCATCCTCGCATCCACCATCTCGTCCTCCCAGGGAGTCGGCCGGCGCGAAGCGACGACCGCCGAGCTTTAGGTCGCCGACATCCAGCCGGAGCTGCGACGTGCGAGTCCACACACGGAAGCCTCTTGGGCGAATGCACTGGGACAGTGTTTTCGCAGAGACTACCTCATTTGCTACTCCCCCCAGGAAGGGGGGGTTGTGTGGGAAGTCAAAGGAGGTTTTTGGCTTCCCACATTTGTGATGGGTCGAAATCGGCCCGCCGCATTGATGGTCGAATCGGTGTAACGAATCGAGAGAGAGAGACGCGAGGGCCCAAGAGGCCCTTGGGCTCGCCGGCAGAGCGTCTCTCTCTTGCCATTCTGCTTGTCTGTTTTGTGGCCTCTTCTCTCGTCTGTCGGTGGTTTGTTGGGGTTGGAAGGGGTTGGCACGGGGGTGGAAGGCCACCTCCAGAAGCAACAGCAACGTGTTCGAGCGTCAACCATATTTGTCGTCGGGAAGTGGTTCCGATACGTGATTCTGGTAGGCTGGAACACGCTGACGGTAAAGAGGCCGCAACGCATGGCCTTAGCGGATCTCTCAAGGAGATCGCTACAGCACGGAGCAGCGTCAAGGGAGCTGGCAGTGGTTGGAGCGACTGCGATGTGGAGGCAGAGCCAATACTTGCTCAAGTCAGTCTTGACGCTGCGGACGACAGGATTTGCTGGGGCGGCATCACGCCGCCTGGCACATCTCGGCGCGGCGCCGAGGCACAGAGCCGCTGCGAGGCAGCGGCGGCAAGGCACGGCGGCGAAAGCACCATCGCCGGGCAGTCTCGGGGTGGCGTGGAGGGCCACTCGAGCTCTGCCGGCGGTGCGGCCGCCGCTCACGGACACGCGACGCGAGGAGGCATCGCCGAGGGCGTCGACGAGGCGCTCGACGAGGCGCGGCCGCGGGACGGGTCTTCTCGGAGCCGCGAAGGCGCCGC